TAGAGAGAGGTAAGTATGAGGAGGGGGACGAATGTTAGAGCTAAAGAGAGGGGTAACAGACGAGAGAAGGAGGAGACTAAACCTTAACAGAGAGAAGTTTAGGAGAGGTGAGTGGAAGGGTTTAAGTAAGAGAAATATGAATGTTGTCGGATGTCTAATACATAAAGATACATTTTGTGGTGGCATACACACACCATAGACGATCTAATGCTGAAGATCAGAATAAGAGGGAGGGAAAGGAAAGAAGAGCTGGGGGAGAGAGAAGGGGCGAAGGAAAGTAAAATTGAACTACATTTACTGAAAGCGCCGCTGTGTAATTAAGAAAATTTCACAAAATTAATATCGACTACAGGTTACAAATCAAATATAAACATATAAAAAATAAATATAACGATTATCTAATCTAGCAAGGACCTATATTTTTATGTTCAAAAACACATGCGAATACACACATACATAATAACATATACACGTATATACATACACATAGGCGTGTACCCACATACACACATACATATACCCATGTACACACATAGATAAATATATCCACATATCCACACAAATATACACATACGCACACATACATAGATATATATATACACATATACATACATCAGGTTCAACATGTTAGATCTATCTCTGATACTGAGCGCTTTCTAATAAGTACCGCGCCTATAACATACAAATAATTACACCTACATATATACATATACACACACGCATGTATGTGTATGCACCTATGTATATATATTTATATATTTTGCATATGTATGTGTATATTTAACACTAATAATAACTATATATATATATATATATATATATATATATATATATATATATATATATATATATATATCCATCTAAATATCTCACTCTATTCATATCTATATATCCTTCTGTCTATTTAACTATTTCAGTCTGTCCAAATCTATCTATCACTCTCTCTCTCGATATATATATATATATAAATATCTCACTCTATTCATACCTATATATCCTTCTGTATATTTAACTATTTCAGTCTGTTCAAATCTATCTATCTATCTATCTATCTATCTATCTATCTATCTATCTATCTATCACTCTCTCTCTATATATATATATATATATATATATATATATATATATATATATCCATCTAAATATCTCACTCTATTCATATCTACATATATCCTTCTGTCTATTTAACTATTTTACTCTGTTCAAATCTATCTATCTATCACTCTCTCTCGATATATATATATATATATATATAATATATCTCACTCTATTCATACCTATATATCCTTCTGTATATTTAACTATTTCAGTCTGTTCAAATCTATCTATCTATCTATCTATCTATCTATCTATCTATCTATCTATCTATCTCTATATATATATATATATATATATATATATATATATATATATATATATATATATCCATCTAAATATCTCACTTTATTCATATCTACATATATCCTTCTGTCTATTTAACTATTTCAGTCTGTTCAAATCTATCTATCACTCTCTATATATATATATATATATATATATATATATATATATATATATATATATATATATATATATATATATATATATATATCCATCTAAATATCTCACTCTATTCATATCTACATATATCCTTCTGTCTATTTAACTATTTCACTCTGTTCAAATCTATCTATCTATCACTCTCTCTCTCGATATATATATATATATATATATATATATATATATATATATATACTCTCCTATGGAAAGGTTTAACGAGCCGGTTTTTCTCTCACATTTAGCCGCATTTTTGTATGTGGTCGTTGGCCATGTAACCCTAATTTGTTCAGGGTACGTTTAATTTGTTCAGGCACGCAATTTTTTTACTTCATTAGCAAAATACACTGCCAATCTTAGGGGTTTCTTCATCCACTAATCTCCTGATCTAACGAATGGACCGAAGGGTCAGCGTTTATGATTAACCTTGTAGTTTCTGACTAGATCAGAGATTTACACTTTTTTCTTTCATTATCGCAAAATTGCGATCACAGTATTTTCGTTCAATATCATTTTGGCAAATTCTTTTAACAGTTTTTTTCGTCGCGTATATAAAATAATACAATGCTTAAAGTCAGGAACGAATTCGTTTTCTTGTGAAATCATGTTTTGAAATGTCTATACATTCAAAATTTTCCTTCAACATGCGACAAATTTGGTCCTCGTTTGATTTAATTTAGGACACCCATGAAATTAAGCAACTGCGTTCTAAACAATCCTATCTTGTCCGGATTTTATGAAGGTGTAGACCATTCTTTCTAAACCCTTTTAAGCAACAGCACACTGGGGAGCAAACAAAAATTTCACGAAACACTAAGCAAATATTTTAAAGGGTATAAAATTAAAATCTCATGAAATATAACCATAGATTTTGAATGAAATAAAGAATGTTGAATACAATTTTATGAAAAAAGGTTAATATTCATTTATTTCAATAAATGAACATGGATAATTAAAAAAAAAA